AAAAACAGGTAAAATTTTATCATCAGTTTTATTTCACCAGTACTTTCAAGTGATTCATGCGAAGTTCAGCATTTGTTTTCGACGTTTGGTGTTGCTAGAAATTATTTTTTTTGAGAAGATATTTAAAACAGTCGTAGTGAAGCTTGCAATACGATGTAAATAATCTTGATACAAAGTTTTTGTCCGCTTGTTACTCTAACTTCCGGTGAATTCCGTCTTGACATGATAACATCATGCAACATGGAGGCAAAAGTTTGATTTTCTTGCTGCGTTTTTTCTAAGGCATACTCTTCACACGCCAAAGCCGGAAACCAAACCATGGAAACTATCCTGTAGAAGGGTACCCTCAGACGAAAAGAACTCAATCTTCGGCTACATCATGATCGACAGCTGTCCATCATCTTGGAGAAACGTTGATATTGCGCGTGCGTGTCTATCCACCAATTACACGGCTAATCCTGCTGTGGCTTTACCAGTACTTGACATGACAACTAACGTCACTTATGCCAACATATACTGTGCCATGTGTCATGGCAGGTCACGTAACCTTCACTTTTGGAGTGTGATGGTCAGAAAGCCCGGCGGACTCGAAAATGTTACTATACAAGACATCAGATCTGCTAACGTATTTTGGGAAGTGTTTCCTGTTGGGGACGTAACTCCAGAAAAATGCCTTATCACACCATTAGAGGCCAACATGAGACCTGAAACCGAGATGGCACAGTTGTGCCGCTCCTATGCAAATAGTATTAAAGTAGAGAGAGACGGGTTAATTTTTAAGAATACCCACTGCGCCCTCTTGTCAGATCCGAGTCTGGTAGTGAACCAAACTATTCTTTGCGGTGTGACTTGGCGTTTTCCTCCGAGATTGCGTTCTGTTTTTTTTACATTCTCAACTAAGGCCAAGACTCCAACTCGAGCTCCTGTCAAAATGACTGTGCACATGAATGTTCAGACCTGTCAGACAAACGAGGTTTACGACCCATTTCAGGAAAAGTGTCTGCCAGTTCACACCGGCCGTGTGAACACCGGCCGCATTAACAGCACCAATGCAACAAACAAGTGTTGGGGCCCTCGCTTTCCCTCGCACGAGTTTCGTGTCTTAAGTAACAATTCCGTCTTCATAATACCTTACCGAAAGCTCTACAATAACGACAGCTTTACTCTGGTTAACCAAACGTTAATTTTGTGCTCCGCGAAATTCTCTCTTAACTACACCAGGGAAGCGACCCCGGCATTGACCCCGGCTGCTGAAGACCAGAAACCTCCCAATGACTCGCTTGTGCTCCGTATAATCACTTACGCTGGGTTCTCCCTGTCAATCATATCCCTCCTATTCCTGCTGATGACGTATTTCCTGTTTGCTGAGTTGCGGACCTATCCCGGTAAGAAAGTGATGCACTTGTCATGCGCATTGATAGCCATGCAGTCAGTGTACTTTGTTTCAGACCCGGATATTGTTTCCTCGGCCGTCTGTGCTGTGATGGGAGCCCTCTTACATTACTTCATCCTAACTGTATTCTTCTGGATGAGCGTTATCGCAGACGATACACAGAGAACCTTCTCATCCTTGAGTAAGTAAATTTGAGCTGTTTTCAATTGACTGTCGCGTTTTCTTTGGTTTTGGATTGTTACGCTACACGACTGGCTTAAAAAATAATCGCGCCACTTTGTCATTCGATCAGAAATAAAACCAAAACAAATCGTGTCACGCTCGCACACTTTTTCCCGCGCGTCGCTAATATTATCATTTTTATTATGATGATGATAATGATGATGATGATTATTTATATCATCATTTTATTTTTTCTTACAAAAACATAATCGAAACATTATGAAGTAGAACAATGGTTACTTTTAATTTCATTTTTTTCGCCAAGATGTAGATCTGCACAACCCACTTGTGATTAACTCACGACGAACGTCATATATTCGTGGCAATATGTTTTCTTGGGGATTTCCTCTTGTTGTTGTTGGGATCTGTGCGGTTTTGCAAATGACAAACACTGGGAATGTTCATTATGGCAAGTTTCTTAGTGCACAGTACATTGAAAAGGCCTTAGCTTGCCAACAGGCTCTAGGGTTTGAGTCTCGCACTTAAGTTGCTATCTAGCTTTTCGCTTTGGCGCACGAACCAGTTCACGATTTACGAATGTCGCGCATTGGTGGAACGCACGACGTGGGAAGTTCGGGTTCCTCCTTGTCTCGGGGATCACTCTCGCGGCTTCGCCACCCACGTTCCCAGCCCAAACACGCGAGAGACTGCTAGCAGGTTAGAGCGGCCTCAAACTTTCCATCGGGTTCTAGCCCTGGCCTGGGAAGTAGCGTTTCATTCTTGGACGAGACATTTTACTCTGACAGGACGTCTCTCCATCTATATGTGTAGATGAGCACCGGAGAACCTTTTGAGCAACCCGGCAACAAAATGCTGGTGTGAGTACCCCTGCCCCTAGCCGCTGTTTACTGAAAAAACAGAAATAGTTTTGGCTTTAATTTCCTAGTGATAGAGTTGTTGGATCTAGGAAGATCAAAGAAGACTCTATTTGAAGGGCAGGTTTTGGAAGAGAGGGCGGAGCACCAAGCAACTTTTCAGAGTACTTCTCCTCCATCGGATAATGGCAATGAAACGCCACATTTCAAAACTGTTTCTAAATAGCCTCGCTTTATTTCATCTGGTATACCAGTGCTGCATCTAACAAACCATTCACCTCGCAGGTAATGAAGATGGCTGCCAGCTGTCTCTTCCAGCCCGTACTTTTGCTTTGGCTTTTCCCGTTACTGCCATACTTATTTTCAACATCTTCGCCGTAATCCGCACAGTTGTTGCCATCAGACAGCAAGATCAGGTATGGACAATGAAGTACATTTTAGCCTCTTGAAATTTACTTGCGCTTTCTAAAATTTCCAAGTTAGTTTCTTGCCTAGTATTTTTGAAAAGTGTATCGCTGCTTATTTAGATAGGACGCTGGACTTTGAATTGCGAGACCTGCATTGAAGCTTTGTTGGGCTTAATTTTGTGTTCCTTGCCAGGACTACATTTCCTCTCACATTGCTTGTCCTCATGCCGCCCCATAGGAGTAATAACATGACATCATTGGAAGTTTGAAATAAAAATCTGAAAAAGGTATTTTAAATTGTCAAATAATGAGGTTGCCAGAGACTTTTCGGCACGGGCCCTTCTTCGGGGTGTTGAAAAAGGCTGTCACGAACTCGAATCACGTCCATAATTTTTTTTCCCAGTTTCCTTGAAGTTTGCCTGCCATGGATTAGCTTGGCAATAAATGGAGACTACCAGAACTCCTAGCTACTTTAGGCTGTGGCTGCTGCACAGTTTAAGCCACGCACTAGGGCTTTATATTACTAAATGTTTATTTAACTCGCGCAGTTTATTCGAACTTGGTGTTGATATAAAGCAAGGGTTTTTATTCATTTTATGGGACACCAGTATATTACGCCATTATAAGAAGGCAGCTTATTATGCCTGGCATAAATATATACCTCAGGGTCTTATTAACAATTCAAATCTTCTTGGAAAATCTGGCATTTACAACCTAGTTCCCAGGGCTTTTTCTTTGGAAATTAGGAAGGGCAGGAAAATTAGGAGAAGGCCCGGATGCTAGGCTGTGCAGTTTGGACGACACGAATTGCTTAACTTCATAATGAAGAAGGACAATTAGGGTCATTTTTTGGAAAGCTTTCGGAGCTTGTGTTTGTACTAGGACTTTCCTCAGTGCGGTAAACCTTTCTTTCGTATTTGTGGAAGGGAAACACGCCTACTTACCAGAGAAACCTGCCTCTGATTGTGCTGAAATTGACAGTTGTCATGGGGATCACCTGGATCCTGGGATTTGCGTTGGGTTTCTATCCCACTCCATATTTGGAATATCCATTCGTCATCATCAACAGCTGTCAAGGTAAGTTTCCTTGCCCAGGCCCCTCTCCCCATTCACTCGTTATAGTATCATATCTCTGCAGGTTGTATTCAGAGTCTTGTCATGTGATATCAAATTCAGACTTGACTGTTTAACTGAGCGAGTGCACATAGCAGCGGTGGCATAAAGTTTAAGACCAAAAGCCAACCTCGTTCCCAGGCTCTCTCTAACGACAAGGGAGGCAAGGCAGCGAAAGCCTAGGATCGAGGTTAACTGAAAGCGTGCTGGCAGTTCCTACTTTACAAGTGCAGAGGCTCTGAATGATTTTTACGATCTTAACAGTTTTGATTTCTTTTGGTTTATTTTGCTATCTTAATCCGCAGACGGCCTCCATGAAAAGCACTTTTTAATGTTTGAGAATTTTTATTCCGTTATTGTGGTTAGGAGGATAGGTAACTAGTTGATTATCGTAAATAGACTGATGGAAATACCGTGTATAAATAAAGTTATCGTATCGTATCGTACGTACAAAACGGTGGGAGAGAGGGTGAGGGTGTTAGGTTGCGGTTGATCGGTGCCATCCTCAAAGGTTTTTTTTTTCAGGATTTTGAAAAAAAAAAATTCTGAGGGTAACAAAGTATTATTTTAACGTTTTCTTTGATTTGAAGGTGATTTTGACACAGCTGGTTGAGTATTGACCAGCATTTTGTACTTCAAATATTTCTAAACCATTTTCTCTTTAATCGTCAGGTCTCCTGCTCTGCGTCTCATTTGTGATCAAGAAACGAGTCTTCACTTTGTACAAGCAGAGATTCATGACTGCTACCAATCCTGCACCCGCGACAGAAGCTGGGTCGATTCCACAGCATTCTTAAACCTTGCCAGGGTAGAGTGAGGGACGTCTGGCCAAACTAATAGCTTGGTGTTGTGAAAAGTTGCAATAACATTTCTGGTTACGTAGGGAAATTTCGTCCAAAAATTCGCTTCAAATCTTTGAAATTGGTTCGAAACTTCAACATTTCATTCCTGATGAAATTTCACTTTCGCTTTAATTTAAAAGTGACTTTCAATATATTTGAACAAGCACTCGAGAGGATTCACCGACAAGTTGCTTCACAACCAGGTTATTTTGCTGTAAAAATGCCATTCGCTGACAGTTAACAAGCAGATTTGTAAATGCTTTTATGTATTTGTTTTAGAGCTATGTACGTAACTGTAAAAATAGTTGATTCCACAAGGGACGTAGATAACCTGTATGTGTCATTAAAACAACTTGAGCTGTTTGCCCCATCAGAAGTTTGTGATTCTGTCCCTCAAGGACCTCTGGCGTTTTCTTCTAGACCCAGCTTTTTGATCAACACTCAACCTTTCTTCGACTGTTCAACCTGATTTAGAATCAATACCGTGACAACGACAATCACAAACCCCCACAGTTTCGCTAGCATTTTTAAATGTTTGAAGTGTTTGGGTGGTCGTTTGCATTTTCGCTTATGCTGGTGTCGCTGATACCCCGGATAAAGCGAAGATCGAGGGGCAAATTTCGAAGTGTTCCGGCTTGCAGTTGGCAAACGTTCAATGCGAAACTTTCCACCTAAAGTAATAGATCCTGAAAATGAACTTAAAAAGTAAATGCATTTGAACAAAAGCGGTTCACTTTTAGACGGCATCTTGGAAATGGCATTCGTTCGGCCAATTCCTCGTGCGTCTTTGAATTACTCGTGAATGATTAATTGAATGATTGTTAAATAATTAGCTGCTTGATTCATTCCTGGTTTATTTATTTATTTATTTATTTATTTATTTATTTAATCTATTTGCTGTGGTTTTAATATTTGCATCCCTTTTACAGTTTTATGCGATTGCGGGCCAAAGTGCTTTAATGTTTTCTCTTTAGACGGTGGGGAGAGCATTTAACTTTTGCCACATTTCCATCCATAAGGTTTTACTTTTCATTGGCTGCTAGGCAAACAAAACCTAAAATTATAGCTTAGTAAGTCAGTAATGGAGGATTTTCCCGTTTTATAGTCCTCATAACATGGTGCCTGGTTTTCGGTGTCAGCCGTCCTCAACAAATTAACTCAACTCGTTTGCGCAGGAAATGTGAAAGACCTCATGCATAGTTTATATGGGCGTTTAGTTCAAATTGCATATATCGGTAACTGTGTAAAGTAAGCTCTTACTTTATAAGAATATATTTTATTATATGGCTAGCTCCTTGAGCGGGCAAGATGAATCAAATCTTGCGCTGTTATTCTACCCGAGCTGGCAAGATGGAGCTATCTCACGCGCTCGGGACTACCCGCCGTGTCCCGCAAGAAAAATTTCCCCGAAAGCCATATAATAAACCCTTCATTGACCAAGCTTGTTCGGTCAAGATGGCTTGATATTGCCCTCGTTCTTTTTTTCGCGAGTTTATGGACCTCGACTCCGTCTCGGTCCAAAAAGTTGCCGCGCAACTTGTGGAAAGCCCTACCAAATACACTCAAAAACAGAAATGTCATGCGCTACAATGTAAAGAATATCACCGGAATATTCTTCAGCCTAAAATCGGCCGGAAAAACAATATGCCTGCTATAAAAAGAGTGTAGATCGTAGAAATTAAGAAACTAATTGCGGGACAAACTGCAAAGAAGATCTCAACTGATAAGATATCTATTCGGCAATAAAAGCAACAAACAAAAACAAAGAAGAGGTAGAGGTGTAATATGACACCTGTTTTTTTAAGCTTATTGCGGGGTATAGATACGTAACACAATACAAATATATCAGTAAAACATAAACCAAGCAGGAACAGAGATAAACGACGCGCGGTACGGATCAAGTTTCGTGACCTTTTACAAAAAATAAATGGGCTTTTGTAAACACCTGGAACGCCGTTCCGTTGTCGAGAAGTTATTTTGGCAGTTGGGGCCCACTTTTGTGGCCATTGCCATTATGGAGAGATGGCTGTTGTAGAGAGGTTACGATCAGAGCTGTGTAGGGAGTTTTAGCGAGCCACGACGGCGACGGCAACGAGGACGTCACCAAACAAAAGGTTTAATGAGCAGAACAATGGTTCTGCATGTGCATTTTGAATCTTTAAACATTTCATTGCCACCCTCTACAAAACAACAACGTGAATTGAAATGACCAAGTTCTGCGTATTTGGAGAACGTGTACCGCAATCGCATGTTTAGCCTGAGCAGGTTTTTAGACCGATAGGCGTACTGAACAGATCTACACAGTTGCGACATTCGAGTGTAAAATATAAATACTTATTTATTTACAAGGCGTCGTCCTCGGCGTCGCCGTCGTCATTGCTAAAACGACCGTCCGCCAGGACCAAAAAAGGTGACCTTTCATTGGTGGAGGGTTCCACGTATCATTGTAAAACGCGCGAAGGACTGGGAGTGAATGCGATTTCCAAGATGGCGTCCAAAAGTGAACCTTTTCGTTCAAATACAACATTTACTTTAAGTTCAGTTTAGGATCGTTTGCTGTACTTTGGCCAACATTTTGATGCCAGGATCTATTGCTTTGGGTGGAAATTTTCGCACTGAACGTTTGCCACCTGTAAGCCGCAACACTTCAAATTTGCCCTCGATATTCGCCATCTACAAACAAAAGAGCAGTCGAGTTTAATAATTGAAGCCGCGATTTTGTCGTGGAATTTTAGCCAAACAACACAATGCATAAAGCTGTGCTGACGCTGGGGTTATTAATCAATATATGTTCCTCGATCTGTATCGTTTTCCTCAACAAATGGCTGTACGTTCATCATGGCTTCCCGAATATGACTTTAACATGTATTCACTTCGTGACCACGTATATTGGTCTTCGATTGTGTGTTCTGTTGAATGTCTTTCAACCCAAACGGCTCTCTGTACTTAAAGTGGTTCCATTGTCCTTGGCGTTTTGTGGATTCGTAGTATTTACTAATCTCAGTCTACAGAATAACACGGTTGGGACGTACCAGTTGGCAAAGGCCCTCACTACCCCAGCTATTGTGGGAATTCACTCTTTCTTCTACAACAAGAGTTACTCACCACAAATCAAGTTAACAGTGGTAAATGGCAACTTAAACTCTTTTAATTCCATAATGAGATCAAAATCCAGTTTCCTCTTACAATAAGGTAGGGACAAACCTTGGAGTGAATCAACTTGGTTCCCTGATTTCAATAAGAATGGCAATTATTCAAGAGTGAGAAATAAACAATAATAGGCCCTTTGCATGATTGGGTCACATGGTACAAAGTTACACTTGCTGGGGTGCAAGTTGCACAGTGGGACCTCCAAAACAAAGCAAGTCATACCAGTCCACCTTGACCTGCCTTTGTTTTGGAAGTCCCACTGTACAACTTGCATCCCAGCCTGTGTGATTTTATGCCATTTGACCGGATCATGCAAAGGGCCTATTGTCATTCGTGTTTAAATCAGTGATCCAAGTTGATTCAGTCCCAGTTTTGTACCTGTCCCTTACAATGTCAGTTCATACGTAGATTAGTTGAGGAGAACAAAGAAATAATCAACAACCAGGAAATATAAAATTGCCTTCACGTGCAACTAAAATCTTATAAGGAGCATTTAAGAGAAATGTAAATGTCTGCTGTGGGCCAATCGGCCCAAACTCCCAGTGTATGCACCTAGGAGGGTATCAAAGGGGAGTTGTGATTGCATTTCATGCTCAAATGTCAATAAAATTCCTGCATCTCATATACTTTTTGCTACTTTTATTTTTCATGAACTCATAGATCACTTAATGTCTTTTAGTGGCTATTAATGCATCACTTGCTAATTTTTGCCCTCATTGCATGTAATACTTAAACCCTTAGCCACCCTCAACTAGGGGTAACGGTATTTACATGTATATTCCCTCCCTGATGGGATGCTGGTCTATCATATAGTTATCTACAGCATTACATTTGCTAGTACCCATTTGTTACAACTCCAAAATGTGAGTTCTTTCAAGTCTTACACAACTACAGTATTGTATACCTGTTGATTATTTACTCAAAATTCATGTAGAATATATTTCCATTTCTTTATGTAGATTCCAATAATACTTGGTGTATTTTTGAACTCTTATTATGATGTGAAGTTCAACTGGGTTGGTACAATCTACGCAAGTTTAGGCGTCATAGTAACATCCGTTTATCAAGTGGTAAGTTACACATTTTTTCATGATTTGCATAGTTTATCGACCATAATGAGATAAATGTATTTATTAAAAACTACATTATTGGATAATACTATTCAAGAGTTTTCATTGGCTTAGCCTTCATGGGTTATCAACCATTATACCACTCTCTACAGTGTACTGGTGATTTTTTGAGGCATTTTTATTTTCATTTCTAAAGGTATAAAACAATTATTCCACTTGCACTTGTTGGATATGAGATGGTAATAGGTAACTCCGTGCTGAGCACTTCTTTGGGTATCTACCATCTCATATCCAACGCATGCACCTGGAATAATTGTTAAGAAGCCTTGAGTAAATAAATTACTTTTANGGGGGGGGTGATTAAGGGGGAGATGCCCCTCTCCTAGGTCCACCATGATTATTTTCCATCATACACAGAACTATTTCATGTTCCTTGCTAATACACACTACAAGTGTATGAATTATTCTTATTCTATACTTGTACTGTTTATCTTTCAGTGGGTTGGAACAAAGCAAAAGGAATTTCAGGCAAACTCCATGCAGCTGTTGTATTACCAGGTGGATGACAATGGTTAACTTATCATTTGTCTCTTTGGTAATAAAGGAATAAAAATATTTTAGTTAATTATGAAAATCTTTTTCAGGCTCCATTATCAGCTGGCATGTTAGCAGTAGCTGTTCTTATTTTTGAGCCTATCACAGCAGAGAGTGGACTGCTGTCTTCCTGGTCAATGTCATCACTGGTAAGTGAAATCGAGTGTATTTATGACGTTATTTAGAAGGCTAAGAAGTTAAAAATCTAAAAGAAATGGTTTTTAGTTTGAAATAACGGGGAATTTGAAATAACTGAGTTCAAATTACCGGGGTTCAACTGTAGTGTCTTAAATCTGAAGGTAATATTGTGGACAAAATTAATGTATTTATGTTAATGCTGTTTTTAAATGTAATTAGGATTTGAAACTTATTTAACCAGCTTGATTTTTTTTCCATAATCAGTAGCATGATCAAATGTTCCATAAGCAGACATCTGTCCTAAGTAGACACTTGAACACCAAGGATGTCTGTTTAGGGAAGTTTGACGTTACATAATATTATGCCAAAATACATGCACCCACGGCTTTACTTTCTTTGTAGCTGGTGGTGTTAGCATCTGGTGTTGTGGCCTTTAGTGTTAACCTGTCTATTTACTGGATCATTGGAAACACCTCTCCAGTGACGTATCCTTTAAAAATGTTAGATGATAATAAACTAAACGTACGTGCAAATCCAAAAACTGTGAGCACTTCAATGCGACTTTCTGATGGGCCACTTGGCTGGTACGGCAGACTTTACCTTGCCTTACCTATCTGAGTTCACTTTTTGATCCATTAATTCTTCACAGCAAACCATACTGGGTAACATAGGCATTGTTGCAGTAAAGTTGCGGTATTTTTTAAAATTTCCATTATTATGTTATGTTATAATTTAATGTGCCAAGTCATTATTTGGCCATGTGACTGTGTGATGCACTTCCAGTCAAAGACCCACATTTCACCCTTGCTCACCATAGAGTCTCCAGTAGCTCAGTGGTTAGAGCATCTGGCTAGATCACACAGGGTTGTGGGTTCAAATCCCATCTGGAACTCAGATCTTTTTTTTTTTTTGAGTTTTCAGTTGATGCTATTTTCTGTTATGCGATTTATGTCACAATTAACGTAATTTGCTATTTCTTAACTAATGGTTAGATATAATATGGTTGGCCATTTGAAATTCTGCATCATTCTCTTGGGTGGCTACTTTATCTTCCATGATCCACTACGTGTCAATCAAATGATGGGTGTGGCTATAACACTCTCCGGAATCATAGCTTATACACACTTCAAACTTGCAGAACAAAATACCCTTAAATTACCTACTACAGTAAACAAAATATGAATGAAATCATGAATTTTAACTTAAGTTAGGTAATGTGTTATCATTTCCAACTGTTGAAAAGCTCAATAAAATGAATATAATTATATTAATTATATTAATTTTTGATGTTAAGAATAGGGGATTTTTTGAGACCTTCAGTTATAGCAGTTGTTGCCTGTAAGAAATTAAGGCTGAAAAAGTAAGTTGGTGAGATAAAAGTACAAGATAGTTAAGTATGTTTTGTACATAGCATTTGAGTACTCAGGTACTAAGAATTCTAAATCTGAATTTTGCACCAAGAACGTGTAAAGTATTGGGAACTTCAACCATTTGTATAGCAGAACTTCATATTTAACTTGAAGAACACATTTGTTACTCCTGTCTGACCAGAAGGAATTTGAGTTTCTACTAATACAGCACTTAAATATATGGCATGCAAAGTGTGAATGAGAATTATTGGAAATTCCAAGGGGGAGGGGGGTCTCAGAAGCCAAAATATTTAAAGGCAAGTCTGAAAAAAACTAGAATTCTGCAGGGATGGGGGTGGGAAATGGATATTTTCTGGAACAGCAATGTACATCACAGTTTTTCTTTAATTTACAGTGAGTTATCTTTGGGTATGTTATAAACTCACATTGTGTGAATGGCGCCCGGTTGGCTAGTTAGCTCAGTTGATAAAGCACTGCACCAGTATCACAGAGGTCATGGGTTTGAATCCCATATTTCAAGCATGAACTGTTTTCAGGCTTTAATTTAATTTTAGTTGTGTGTATAACTGCAATGATCTATCATGATATCGTCATGTCTTTCTCTGCAGTTGAAATATATGATTATATTCAGTTGTACAGTGAGTTATATTTATTTTAAAGAGTAAGAGAAAGGGACAGTGTTAAATATATACTGCTTTGATTGTGAAATCTCCTTGCTGTTGTTCAGGTGTATCTATGTCCTTGCAAGATACTCAGGGGGGGGGGGGGGGGGGGGGGCATAGCCCCGTAGAGGAGCCCAGTTTATCGTAAAGGCTTTGTGTAGAT